AATACATATTTCTCATCCTCGCAGCAGCGCCTTGTGCCGACCCGACAGCTGCCCGGGGGCGGCGGGGGCGGGTGCGGTGCGGTACTGCACTGGGCAGTGTTACACATCTTACTCAATTTTCCCAAGCGTAGCGCCCCGCTCCGCCGCGCCACGGCCGCGACCCCCTCCCGCCACGGCGGCGGTATTGTCTGCGGCGCGGCGGGCGCGTGGCCTGTGGAGCGGTCACGCGCCGCCGGCCGGCACAGGACCGGCGCCCGCTCGCCCGCCATAGTTGCCCCGCCCCATACGAACTTTGGCAACTCGATTCGTTAAAGACGATGGCAAGTACCTGGCCCTCTGTTCCCGGAGTGGGCGAATAGTGTACTTTGGGGCGGGTAGAACATATATGCTCGAGCGTTTTACCCACACTAAAGTTGTGACGTTGAGGCGGGAAAGTTCTCGATCATTCGGGAACGTTTATGTTCTACTCGCTATTCTTCCTCCTCAAGCTGAAGTACGCTATAACAGCGCCAGACTCGTGTCCGGCTGCAGGATGAGAGGCTAGAGCGTACGGCGGCCAGAGCGATGCGATGCTAGGCGCCCGGCCGCCGCCCGTGCCGCGTATCTTTGTCGCTCTATATGGGTCGCTAATGAGTGATTAGAAAGACTCGCATAAAGCCGAGCGAAAGAGTGCACTGCCCAACTCTGGCGCGAGTCCAGCGAAAGGCGACGACGGCTGTCCCGTCCCTGGCTGTTCCGACCCACACGGTACGGAGCCGGCTCGCCTCGAGCCTCGGAGCCGCCCAAACGCACTCACTCGACTAGACATGGAGAGGATAACTCTAGACATGACTGGTGCGGCCGCCCTGCCCGCTGCCCCGTACTCACCGTGAGGGGTGATCTGGTTGGCGATGTCCTCGAGGCGCTGGGGCCGCGCCGAGTGCACCAGGAGCAGGAGCTGCAGCAGCACGCCCGGGGCCACCTGCAACCGCTGCACACAAGAGGGGGCTGGAGTGGTACTCTGTTTCTGGCCGCGCGGCTTGCCGGGTACGGGCCGCTTTTGTTTCGGCGGAATGGGTTCCAGCCGCTCGTACATCACCACGCCCGCACCCCGCGCCAGTTAAATCATTGACCGTCACATTTATTACGGGTTTTATCTTTGGATGACTCTATGTTTTGTTTCCCATCCGCCCTTGTTGTGAAGCGGGAACATTGTATGTGTGTGTGTTGTATATACGAGAGCAGACACGTTGTAAGTGATGGAAGTTAAGGGGAATAAATCGTAGTTTTCATTTTGGAATGAGTAACCGTCGCTGTGCTTGTATAGGCCGACCGCGACAACGTACTTCCCCTTTTTCAAAAGTCGGTTGTCATGCAGCACAGGGTCTTCGTCCTTCTCTCTGCGGCTGGTTTTGCGTAACATCCGAACGCAGTGGGACGTGGAGGGACATCTTGTGGCACTGACCCTCTGCCGCGCCTCCCCCCGCCCCTCTTCTTTCTCATTTCCTCTTGTACGCTTCTCTGTGATGGCGGATGCCGCAGAGAGGCGTATGCGAAATGGAGACGGAAAAAGTGCAATCGCAGTGACAGGCGTGGGCCCGAGGGATGTCAGCGGCGGCGTGGGCGAGGCCGGCGGTGGGCCGCGGGCGGGGGCGTGCGGGGTGGAGGGGGATGATCCCTGATCGCTTCCTCCGTTGCTTGCGCTGGTCGCGCAGCACGTCCCGCGCACCGCCCCGTTCCGGCCGGCCGAGCCGATCCGTCGTCACCGCCCCGCCTCTCCCCGCCCGCCTGAGCGTCGCGACGCGCCTTCCCGGCAGTGCAGGCGCAGGACGATGCTCGGCCCGGGGCCCGCGCTGCGCCTCGGCTGCCCCGGTGCCCCAGTAAAATGACTTGCAATCCTCTCGCAGCCTTCGGGAGTCGAACTGTTTCCTTCTTCATCTATGGTTATGTCGCGTGGGCCTGCCGGAGAGCATGCCGAGGAGCCTGCCGGAGTGCCTGCCGAAGTGCCTGCCGAAGTGCCTGCCGAAGTGCCTGCCGAAGTGCCTGCCGGAGAGCTTGCCGGAGTGCATGCTCGAGGGCTTACCCTCCCAGGGCCTGTCCACAGCTGTTCTCCGATTCCAAAACTCAGATGAATGCTGGGTTGGCGTGCTTGCAACCCTACGCAACCCGCGGGTCCCCTGCACTTTGAAAACAAAATCGTGAGAAAAATAAGAATATTATTATTGCTAAATATTTTTACAACCACGTTCTCGTGGATTTCTTTGACACTCTCCTGAGAGTGTCAAACCAATCTGTCATGAAATGGTTGTAAAATATTTCGCCATAATATTCTTGTTTCCTTATTTTCATCACAATTTTGTTTACAGTTTGCTAACTGGCGTTCGACGGAGATGTGATGTGTGCACGAGCCATGTTAGGGTGCACGTGTACTTTCCAAATAACTACGATTAAAGTTTTTAAAATGAGGGATGGGCTAGGTTTCTCGTATTACACTTTCAAAGAACGTCCACTATCTATGCCGCTTGGTTTTGCTCTCTGAACGTCTTGTTTCTAATGACGTCCTGCGCCAGGTTTTTCTTTAGCATATCAGTTTAGCGGGAGCAAGATAAGGTGGTAGTGCACTCGATCTGCTGCAAAATTACATTCCCATTATAGAAAGGCGCTTTAATAATTGACGCCATCTGCGTCGGCGCAAAATAACGTGACGAAAGAGATCTGATCGGGTGGACACCTGCTTTCCAGGCTCTGTCCAGTAGTTGCCGTCGGGGCTGTCCATGTTGGGGCACTCACCTGTCGGAGCAGCATGGCGCACGGTCTGCGGGTCTCTGGGCACGGGGCACTGCACTTCAACTTTGCAGCCATCTTGACCAGGGCGGTGCGTTTTATACGGCGCCCCTCCTCGCCGCTGCGCGGCGCCTGCCCCCTCCGGCGGCCCCGGCCGGCGGGGCCTGTGGACCCGCCCTCCCCCACGCCCCCTGTCCTCCGCGCTGCGCACGGGTCCATGGCGCCGGCATGGGCGCCTGCCGGACTCATTGAGGGGAAGCAGCGGCCGGCCGCCTATGGGCCCATGGGACGCGACACGACACGACATGGGCATGCGGGCCACCGCGCCATTGGGCACGCAGGATGCGCCAGGAGGACGGACAGGGAAAGCTGAGAGGGGGTGCGTGGCGCAAGGTCGAGAAGCGTCGTCGTGGATTGAAAACTTGTTGAAGGGAAATTGAATTAGAAGGCGGGGGTTCTGACCTTTCATTATGCACTTGTAAGTTGTTGAACCCAAGCGAAACCTTTGCCGGGGGATTACAGGATTCCGAACCATTTTAGACGCTCCACCATAAAAAATGATACCATATTGCTGTGACAAAAATGTCGTTGGTGGAAGGTTGTAGCAAGTAAAGTCATTATTATTATGTAAAAGAAATATACATAGTGCTCATAATGTTTTCAAATTAAGCTAATCGTCTCTTCATAATTTTTGTAATCCTTATGAAACACGAGGAACTGGGTTCAATTATCACGCCAAAAACGGCTTCGAGAAAGACTGGGAAGCAACCTGCTCCGCGTTCGTAGCATAGGTTGCAATGGATCCTTTTGCATAAAATTGCGGGTTTGCCTACTCTTCACACTCGTAAGGGGCCATGGCCCCTGCAGCCATATTGAGTATGCAATCCCGCAACACTGCTGCGTATTCACAGTTTCACCCGGCATTTGTGATACCATGTGTGTATGCAGTTAAAATTGTAGGACACTGACACTAGGTGTACTACAGTTCTTAGGACAGTTATAAAAGTCGGGCAGTATGCGACACTTAAAACTGAGAACTGTCGGACACATGGTGACCTAGGTACACAAAGAATTGTAGTACACATAGTGTCCTACCACTACACATGGTTTCACACATTTAACTTCAGTACCATTAGTATCATTTGAGTTTCTAGAGTACTTTGCAAATAGTTAGCCGTGCACCCTAATCAACTTAGCGACGGTGTGAACGACAAAGAATAAATTGGCATAGCAGCTAATCTTTCTTAAATGTTAGGTTTGAGTTGGAATTTCGGGTTGCGTTAGCTCTCGCCGATGAACCGCTAACCCCGTTAAACCATACACTGGCTGAAGGCGTGGCATTCCGTGTGGACTTCCTTCCCTGCCAGGTGGTTAAGTCGATAAGTACGATTTTTGTACTAGCTGTCATATTGTTCTCGTAGGTCAGGCAAGTCCAAAGTCGGACCACAACTTGCCAATTATTGAGCTATGCAGCTATACTGTGCATTGCCTAGGACAACTTATATCCATTAGCACTGAAAGCTAATTCAATTCTGCTAATTGTTTTAGCTCTTTGGTTCTAATTTTAGCTATTCATAGCTCCTGGTGTAAGCCCTGCAACTGAGATTCAGCTGTACAGCTAACTTTTTATTTTGCGTGATAGGCTACAGAAAAAATCTGCGCGATTAATATGTGCTCATGTAGCCTACGCACAATTGTTGTACCCCCACCCCACCCCCATATCTCTTGAGGCAAAGCGATCTTCGAAGACGCTACCTAACCCCAGAGTCACCGCCTGTGGAATAGCTTAGCGCGCGCACAGTCGAGTTAAATAGGTTGCCTACTCGTCGGGCGCGGGCAGACGTGACTTATACATGCGATTCGTTGCTGGGTATCGTTTGTGTGCGCCACACCCTTCACTCGTGGTGAGTGTTGCGTGTCATGTTGATCTCATTCTTGGAGAAACGCAATCTTATGACTATTTTGAAAAAACAACGAAAACGGCGCATTTTGAGTCCAAATCACAGCGGCATGTGTTCATTTTACATTATTTGCTTGTTGATTTGTTTTTTCCCCCGTCCAGGAAGAGAAAAATATGATAAACCACGTTTCCTGAAAGTAAATACTGTATTCCTTTTGGATAAACTTTATTTCAGAAATTTTAGTTTGAATGGGCAAAGCCTTTGATTATTAATTAGTTTTGTGTCAGTTTAATCACATTATCATGGCAAATGTTAAATCACCATTGATTATCAGTCTTGAGTACACGCACATAATTCGACATGTTTTTTTGTTGTTATTCTTTATGTTAGTTATCGGTTAAACTGGGAAAAAATGGGTTAGATTTATGGCACTTTACAGTATGCTCATATGCAATTGTTACGATTTCTACAGCAACAAGAAGAAGCGTCAAGCGCACACTACAGTTAGGTTCCGTAAGATAGATTGTACAAATCCTGGGACGCCTTCCCTTTGGGCTCTACAATTGAACGAGCCACCTCATATCACACCTTTTGTCGGCACCAGCTCGATGTGGTCTCCTGCTGACACACATCAATGCAGTGTGCAATTCCCCTTTGTGACTCTGCCTAAGTTTCACTCCCCCGCCGAAGCAGTTGCGTCTTTGCATGGACTTAATCGACGGCAGGGAAGTAAAACACTGCAGCTCACTCAGCCCCACTGCGCGCCTCGCCGCCGAGGCCTCTTCTGCCTCTCATGGCGTCGACGTCGAGGCGCCTCCCGCCTCCCCCTCTAACGCCTGAGGTAGTTAAAGCCTCCGCCGAAGCCCCGGGCACCCTGGTAGGCGGGCAGCACGGCGCCGCGGTCCTGGCCCGAATAGTAGCTGGCCACGTTGCCGCTCACGCTGCCGTACGGCAGTCCACCTGTAGGCAGCCAAAGACGAACATTACGTAGACGGCATTAGGATGAAGGCTCGAGACGGTCCAAGCTATGCGTGCTCTGTTTCAGCAGAGTTTTACTGAAATATTAACAGTAAAAGTTTTTGCCGGAAACTAAATATTTGGTATCCCGGATGGAAAAATCTACAGCGAAACTACAGACCCAACTATAGTTACTACAGTTCGGGAGTCTTTGTCGAAATTGGTATAGTTACCTACTCTTTAACTGTAGTTAACTAAAGTTTACCACAGTTTACAAGCGTACTGACACCCTTCGATCCTTCTATCCGTGTGACTAACTTTACCTAAGAAAGAGCCTAAGCAGCTTGGCTATTAAAAAAATTGTCATTTCTGACAAATTTATTTTACGTTTTCAGAATAAAAGCTGACTGTTATAATTTTAGTTACCATTTTGGTGAACCAGCAAAGTGCTAATTTGCCATGCAGGGCGATGTGGATTGTAGAGTTCGGACTTACCGTACGAGAAGCCGGGCGCGGGAACGCCCCAGCTCCCCCTGCTGTCGGCCAGGCAGCACGCGGCGAGGCACAGCAGCACAGCCAGGGCAAGCACCTGCAATTCACACGAGCATGAGGTGCGGGCTGTCGTAGACGTGCCCAACCAAATGTTTTGCTCTAAACGTTTACTCCACAGACCGAACGTTTTGAGCGCACGAAAACATTTTGCACCTCAACCAAAAGTTCTTGGCTCACTAAATGTTTGTTCCAGGGCACTGGAAAATATCGTCGTAAAGTTACGATATATTTTGTGGTTAATAATTTCAAAATATGTCGTAAATTTATGACACCCCATTCATGCCCTATGATGAATTTCAAGTCGATACGTTGTCCTTGTAATTTTGAATTGTAATTTTTGCCACGCTTCATGAATAATATTCCCGTAAATCCTCAGT